TCCAAAGGTCTTAAAAAATTAGTGTTGCTTTCAAATGGACAGATGATCTAGGAACTGGGAAGCAGCGAATCATCATTAAGCACTACCCTTAAAGCCAAATTAAAACCTGTGTAAGCACTGCTTTATTAGAATCAGAACTATGCAACTCCCTGGAGCTTAGGGTCAGAAGATGGGAGTTTGAGTTTGCGCTCAATCATTTAGGGCAAGCAGTGACACCTCAGACTCACGTGTATTGATTGGTAAAGTGGGCCTAGTTGCAATGGTGTCTGCCCCTATGAACTGTCATGTCTTTTTCTTTTTTTAAATATATTTTCATTGATTTCAGAGAGGAAGGGAGAGGGAGGGAGAGGTGGAAACATCAATGATGGGAGAGAATCATGGATCTGCTGCCTCTTGCACGCCCCACACCGGGGATCAAGCCCACAACCTGGGCACGTGCCCTGACCAGGAATCGAACTGTGACCTCCTGGTTCATGGGTTGAGGCTCAACCACTGAGCCACACCAACCACGCTCTCTTGTCCTTCTTACAGATGAGGAGACTGAGGCTCAGATGGCTTCCATCACTGGCCCCCTGTCCCACGGCTAATGCGGAGCAGCACTGAGACTATTCAAGTCCCTGCGCCTCCCTCATCCGAGCCTGGGCACCTCTTGCCTAGACAGTCTCAAGAGCCTCCACACCGCCCTGCCCTGCCCTGCCCGCTTGCCCCTGCAGCCCGCTCTCCCGGGCGGCCAGAGTGAGCTTTCAAAAATAGAAATCGCATCATAACACTCTGCCTCAAGCCTCTCAGAGGCTCCCAGGGCACTTAGAATGAAAGCCGCGCCTGCCCTGGCTCCAAACCCTCCTGCCACTTGGCCTGCTGTCCCCTCCCTCCAGGCTCGTGCCCACTCTCCGCTCAATGACTGGGCTCCAGCCGCCCGCCTCCATCCCCCCTCCCGCCTGGCGGCCCTCCAGGCGCCCTGCTTTCTTTCCTGACATCCCCGATGGGGTCAGGTCCCCGGTTTATACTCCACACTTTCCTTTAGCTGCGATAGAGATCTGTCTGTCTGTGTCCTCAAGTCTGGCTCGCTCACTAGGAAGGCCTCTCTGTCCTCAGCCCCCGGGCCCAGCATCTGACTGTTTCTGGCACGTAGTGGGCACTCGATAGATATTTGTTAAGCGAATCAATCGCTGAACAAGTGCGTAAGTGCCGGTGGAATGGCCCGGCAGAGCAGGAGTGTGCCGGGTGCAGGGGGAGCTGAGGCCCGAGGGGGGCGGGGGAGGAGCTGGATGGATGGAGAAGGTGCTGGGGAGCCAGGGGCAGGCCTGAAGCTGGAGTCATTGGGAGGCTTCGCTGGAGGAGGGACTGGCCTGCGAGGTGCAGGGGGCGCAGACCAGCCTGGAGGCCTGAGGGGATCGGACCCCGATCCAGGGTATGAACTGGAAGGAGTGAGGACACAACAGCTTCGCCGGACCGATGGAGAAGGAAGGGCTCTGGAGGGTCCCGGCACCTTCAGCCCCCGACGCCAGACGCACAGAGAAGCCCCTGACGGGAGGGGGCAGGTGCAGCAGAGGACGAAACCCTCTGTTCCGAACCTCCGGCCTCTCCGTGCCTCCAGGGCCCCTCCTCCTGCTGAGGGGCCTGTACCTGTCTGGTCCCCTCGGACACCTCGGGGCCTTGCCCAGGTGACCTGGGCATTTCCTCGGGTGAAACGCATGACGGGGGATCTGGCAATGTTGGAGGCTCCGAGAGGCCCTTGCATGTGCGTTAGCTCCGTCAACACCGCAGGAGGCAGGCCGCTGTGTGCAAACTCCTATTCACCCGTCACAGCCCCTCTCGAGTGGCCCTTCTTCTGGGAAATGCCCTTCACCACCACCAAGGGGCGCTCATACCGGGCTTCTGCAGCTCCTGCCAGCAGCGCATGGCTTCGCTATTACATGTCTATGTCCTCCATTAGACCAGGGTGCCTCGAGGGCCACAGTTCAGCTCTGCACCCGCCTCTCGCCCCGACCCAGGAAAATGTTGGCTCAGAGTTAATGCTCGATAAATATTTGCAGCAGGGACCGGCGGATTGGGGCTCTGTCCATAAACGTTGCCCCACTAACTGGCTCCGTACCCCTCCAGATGGCTGAGCCTCTTGCTGGCTGTACCATCTCTGCACTGACCCCCACGCTGAAACACAGGGGCACCCGTGCGCTCCCGGTCAATGACTTGCTTAGGGGTGAGCTGGCTGCCACCTCGCAGAAGAGTGGGGTGCCAGATGGCTGGGGCGCCAGGTGGCAGAGTCCCTGGGGTGCACTTGGGAGGTTCTGAGAGCCAGGGAACCCGGGTTTGCTCTCACTGGTGGAGCAGGGCTGTGGGGAAAGGGCTATGGCTTCTCTCAGTCAGCCGGGCACCCAAAGGGCCTGGGGCAGGAATCACGCCCTGATCGCACACCGGCTTCCTGGTGACTGGGAATCCTCGGGAGAAGAGCTAAAGAGGGCCCGGCAGGAGACAGGAAGGGCATTCGCCCCAGATGCTTCTACAATCTGCTGATTTCCTGACTGCAAACCAAGGCGCAGGGAGGCTCAGGGACTCGCCCAGGTCACACAGCTAGTAAGCGGCAGAGCTGGGATCCCAACCCAGGAAGCCAGGGCCGTCACCTGTGCTCTTCACCACCAGACTATGGCCGCTCCAGCCGCCCCAGCCCTGCACCCTGTGGGCGCCTCCCTTCCTGCCTGCCCCCCTCCACGCGAGTTCTGCGTTTGAGCGGAACACCCAGCTTTCCTCCTCGGCCTCCGGCTGTGAGGCCGGCCCCACTCGGCGCCACAGCCCAATCCCAGCGAGACGCACATGCAGCAGGTTAGCTGGGCAAGACACGTGCTGTGGGGCGTGTGCAAGCGCGTGCAGGCATGCTCCTGGGTGCGTATCTGAGCATGTGCATGTGTGCCCGTGGCCACGTGTGCACAGGCGTGGGGCGACCGGGCAGGCGGGCGGGCGGGCGCGGCTCCAGCCTCACCTTCAAAGAGGAAGGTCTCATTCCAGTGGGGGTTCAGGTTCTTCCTCTTCACCTTGGTCTCCAGCTTGTGCTTCTTGTCGGGCAGCAGGTAGATCTTGACGAAGGGGTCGCTGGTGCCGCTGAAGTCCTTGGCCGGCAGCTCCTGGGCCTTCATGATCTTCACGGTGAGCGTGGACTCCTGGAAGTTGTAGCCGACGCTGAACTGGATGCGGCCCAGGTTCTCCCGGCTGCAGCCCTCGTGGGCCTCGTCCTCCTCGGAGCCTGGAGAGAGCTGGTGGGGAGAGGCCGGCGGGGTTGGGAGGGTTCTGCTCCCGGAGCCCCCACTGCAGCCCAGCCCTGTTAGGAGGCCTCTCGCGCCCCAAACCCGGCCAGAGCTGGGAGCTGCTCTGTCCCTCTGGTCACCATGGGGCTCGGGAGGCGCCCACCTCCACACCCAGGTGAAGATGTCCGACGGGCGGGAGCCTTGCGCAGGCTCACAGGGGGAGCAAGAGAGGGCGCAGCTGCTCGGCTCCCGTCTCCTGAACCCCAGGGCAGTGTGTGCCCCACTCCCCAGCCTCACCTGGATGTCCGCTGCCCTCCCTGCTCCACCCCAGGCTGCCCCGGCCTCCAGCGGGGAGGGGGGACCCTTTCCTGGCTTTGTCACGCCACCCCCTCTTCCTGCCCCCTGTCAGGGGCTTGGGCAGGCAGAACAGGGTGCTTCGGACCGGGCCTGCCCAGAAGCCACCTCCTTGCCTCCCAGGCCTCCCAGGCGCCAGCTCAGCATCTGTCCCGACGCTTCCGCAAGACACGTGGCATGTGGTTCTGGATGGACATTTATTAGCGCACCCAGGGGTGCACACGGAACACGGATTCAAACAGGGGTCCCTGCCCAGGGGGCTCACAAGCTAAACGAGACACAACAGACACGTACACACAGGACACGAACACAGGGCGTGGGGCACCTTCCAGGCAGGCAGATGGTAAAGGAGGGCCGGGCACAGCGTGGTCAAGCATCGCCCTTCGGGGTGTCTCCGTGGGGAGCCGGGAGAGCGGAGGCGGCCCAGGATGGCGTGCCGAGCCCAGGAGGGACCCAGGAGAGAGCCCCGGGGGGCCGTGGACCGGCACCGGGAGGGAAGGGCCCATCTGTGTGGATGACAAGGGGTCTGACGACGTGGGGGCAGGAGAACGCGGCAGGAAGGCCAGGAGGCCCGGAGCCCATGGCTGGAGGCTGTCCCTCGGCTGGCGAGCTGTCCCTGCTGGAGGCTGGTTCCCGGGGCCATCGCCCCGTACAGGGCTCCGGGGAGGGCCCTCTGAGCTACTTACCTGACCCGTGGGCCCCCTCCAATCTCCAGGGCAGAGATCAGAAGAAGAAAGAAACCACCACCTTTTCACTGGCGTTTACACAGGCTGCCAGACATGGTGGGTAGGGAGAGGGTGTGCAGCTTCCCGTGGGGATCTCAATGTGCAGGACGCAGCTGCTGGCCAGGGGCCGGGGCGCGATGCCCCCCTCCCTCTGGGGTGGACACGTGACAACCGAGGGCCCTCACTCCCTCGTGCCCGTAACATGGGTAGCACCGTCCTGAGGTGCCCTGAGAGCGACAGGCGCTGTGTCCCTGGCGGCCTGGGGAGGGGCGGCCGGATGGTCATCGCTCCTCTGTGGTCCTGAGGGCAGGAAGGAAAGGGTTCCCCACAGTGGTCAGGGCCCTGGCCCGTTCCCTCGGCTGGGCTGGCCGCGGGCTCTTTGGGTTGGAGAGACATTTCTAACCCGAAAGGATTAAACCAGAAAGGGCGGCGAGAAGCCGCAGGCCCAGCCACCCGCGGGAGCTCCTTGGGCGGGAAGGAGCCGCTGGCCTGAACATGCAGCTCAGCGAGTGGGAGTGCGGGCGGCAGTGGGGGAGGTCGGGGCATCTTGGGTTTGTCTGACCGCCTTGGAGGGTGGTGAGGGCCCCCTGGGAGACGGGTAAGGGGGTGTTGGACTAGGGGAGCTACAGGGGGCCCCTCAGACCTCACGGTGACTCCACTCCTAACAAGCGGGGCTTCAGGCTTGGGCCCGGGGCAGCGAGGGCTGATGTGCTAGATCCGAGGGCGGGGTCCAAGGGCCTCATTGCCAAGGTGACAAGATGAGGGGAGACTCCCAGGCCCAGGCTCCCCACCCCTCACCCCACTGCCTCTTCCCCTGGGAGGCGAGGGAGGGCTGGGACCCACGAGGAAACAGCCAAGGCCCTACTTTTCCACGATCCTTTATTAATCGGAACGGGCCGCGCCACAAAAGCGGGGCTCATTCCCACAAAAATATGATTTTGCAAAGAGGAAGTCTTGCTGGCTTAGAGGGTGCGTGTGGTGGAGAGTTGTTGTATGGTTCTTTTTTCCTTTTTTTTTTTGTTTTCCTTCGGTTTTTCTCCATCTCTCTTCAACTGCATATTTTCTTTTTGTGACAGTGGGTTTTTGTTTTGTGGTTATTCATTTTTTTATAAAACACTTGCGCTCAAGGACTCCAACACAACAAAA